GGCAGTGGGTGTGGTTTGGGCTTTGCTTCTGTGAAGACTGACAGCCTTGGAAACCCTGTGGGGCAGTTCCACTCTGTCCACTAGGGGCGCTGTGAGTCAGAATCTACTCCAGGACACCCATCAACCACAACAGTTCTTCCAACATTTTTGGTTTTCTGCTCAGTTGGACTCAGTTCTCTAACTGTTCTCAGCTGTACACTAAAATCTTAACGCAATACAAATGTGAGACTTCCGGCCTCCAAGACTGACTGACAGCATTAAACTGACTAATCAGAGAACCTTGAAAGATTGTAGATTTGCCTTCTCAGGGACAGCTTGTTTTTTAACCGGGGCGCTGGGCATGGTGACTGGGACTGCGTTGGCGACCGTGTATGGAGTTGGGGCGCAGGACGCCGATACCGCTCAGGGTGGTTCTGCTCGTGAGAGGCGCTTCCCGTCGCATGCTCACACTGACCCTGTCCTTCTCTCCTTCCTTCGCCTCCTGTACCATGCTTGCTGGGTAGCAAATGGAGTCGCTTGCAGTAAGTTGAAGTTCTTTCCTATTCTTTGTCCTCTTACACACGGCCCCCTAACGAGCTGTATTTTTATCGTTAGCGTTCTCTCTCTCAGCACGTTTTCCCTTTTTTCATTCCCTTGGATTTGATTTGGTAAATGGACACACGTTTTTTTGTTTTTCATAGCATCCTCTACTGCTTTTTGTCCCAAAGTAGAAAGCTACGTTGCTATGAATTCTGATCTTCTCAGTGGAATATTTTGAGGAACGACCACCATTAGTTGGCACTTAAGGAGCCCTTGTGGCACAAGAGTTAAGCACTCAACTGCTAACCAGCAGACAGGTGGCTGGAACCAACCCAGTGGCTCCGTGGTAGACGGCCCTAGGGATCTGCTCCCAAGAAGATGACACCCCATGGGGCAGTTCTACTCTGTCGTGGGGTCGCTATGAGTCAGAACCGACTTGACGGCCCCTCACAAATTTAGCACTTAGGCAAGTATTCATAACTAGGTCTAACACTAAATTGTGACAATACCATTCATTCGTTTTTAAACATATAAATTTTTAATCTGTGAGTCTCTGACAGCCATCTTTTATATCATATCTTTGAAAGTTTCCATAGAGAAAACTTAAATGATCATGAACTGAAACGTTTTACTCAATCCAATGAGCCGGTGGGAGTCAGAGAATGTAGCTGTGGCTTTGACCCCAGGTTGAATGTCAGCAGAGGTCACATAAATTCAAAGAGAAGTTTCTCCTCTAAGAGGCAATAGGCAAGGAGGAGGAGGAATGAAAATTTATTTATATTACAATTTTGAAATTATAAATATATTCAAATTTAAAAAAACAAAGCTAGTGTAATAATTGGCATAAACGTTAGTAATTTTGGGAAATGAGGATCAATACTGTTAATAACACGATGAATAGAATATTCTTCCTAAAACTGAAGGTGAAACGTGTGTGATTTTTCTCCCCAGACTGACTTGGGGGATCGGTTTTAAGTCATGTGGGAAACTCAGTTCCAAGCTGACTTCTCTCAAGCTCTGACCCACTAGTTAAGAAAGGGTCCAGTTTTTCCTTATCAAGCTCATTTGAAAGTTACACCACGAGGTGTTCCCCTTGAGCTGCATATTAAGCCCGGGTTCACTGTTGACTGCTGGGCCAAGAAGTTCCACCAAGTACAGCATCCCACTCACTGCTAAGGGGCTATCCCACTGGAATAAGACAGCAAAGCTTCTGTGCCCGTCACACCAGACACAACTCAGAGAAGTGGGAGCGTGGTGCGGGATTACCCACGACTTTTTTTTTTTTTTTTTTTTGCTTTTCTTTCCTCATGCTGTACATAAGCTGTGAACCAAATATTTTCGATTCGAGGCCATTCATGGGGCTCAAGGACCGTTCTCTATGAGGACTTTTTCACGTTCTTGGCACAGCGAGCTCGGAACGTGTTCATAACGTCGCCATCCCTTTAAACCGCTGTGGCCCCTTTTCCATATCTCTTTAACCCAACCAGTACGGATTTGAGCACTGAGTGGGAATATTTCACATGGGTGGAGGACGGTTACATTGCCCTAGAAGGTCATGTGACTTGTTTTGGCACGTACTTTAGGACAAGTGTCTGCACCCCCCGTGACAGCCACATCTGTCACATGGAGTGCCCTCCAAAGCTCTATTGCATTTGTGAACTGGATACCCAGAGGTAGTTAAGGTTTTACCTTTTGAATATTCATTTAAAAAAATTTTTTGTCTTTAAAAATAATGTGTACTTTTTAAAAATAAAGACACCACTCAGCTATAAATTTGTTAGCATTTCATTACAAGTATCATGGAACTAAGGCAGCCCACTGGGCTCCTTTATCGTAGCCACTCCTTCCTAATTACCGTATTTTTATGCAATAATGTGCATTACAGTTTTTTGCAAACTGGGTGTTGGTTTCCTGTGCATACTCTGTGCGTTATGTCCATGGGCATGTTATATGAAGAAATGTAGTCGTTGCCTGCCAGAAGCTATTTGATTTCTATATTACACTACAAATTTCCCATCGGCATTTATCGACCGTGCTTTGTTTTCCTGGGGACTGTGGTTGTGCTTCCTTAATTTTTTTTTTAAATTGTTGTCCCTACTGAGATTTCACTTGTGACACAAGAATGACCCCTGAAGCGTCTTTTCCTTAGTAAATGTTTCCTCCCGTGTCACTCCTCTCTTTAGCAACTGGAACTCTGCCAGAGGTTATATAAGCTACACTTCCAGCTGCTGCTGCTCTTCCAGTCCTACTGTAAGCTCATTGGCCAGGTGCACGAAGTGAGCTCCATGCCCCAGGTAAGCCCGGACAGCCCACCAGCTCTCTGCTTTGGAATCATGGCTTCTCTTTTGCTCTTTTCCCCTTATGTTTATACCCCTTTCCAATGATTTCATTCCCACTTCAGTCTTCTTCACCAAGTCTTTGAAATAAACTCCTCTCACATCCACCTCTCGTCCCATTGGTAAAGGGTTTTCGAGAGCAGGACCAGGATTGGAGGAGCCAAGTGGGGCATCTTCAAAAAGAGGCCCCCTTTAGTGTGGGTATTTAGGAGGCCCGCACTGTTGCCAGGGGCCACCAAGTCGGTGCTGACTCACACCCAGAACGAAACACGGTCCCATCCTGCACCAAACTCACCATCACTGCAGCCACCGTGTCAGTCTGTCTCATGGAGGGTCTTCCTCCTCTTTGTTGGTGACCCACTGCTTTAACAAGCATGACACCTCATTTGGCCCACCCTAGTTCTGACCCTGTGTCTGGGCATCCTTATTGGAAGCAAAAGGTTTTGTGATGGTTTTACTTTAGCTTTTAGGACTCACTCTTCAACTGAGATGAACAAGAAATACATACATGATACATTGATGGGATCTCTTTGATCCTCTTCCATTTCCCAGCCCTGTTCACTATAAGGATGCTGTCATGTTTGCAAACATCAAGAAGTAAAATAACATAGATGCACTGCTATCACGTAGGCCACGATTTTCCTACAAGCGAAGAAACAATCATACACTAATATAGTTAGTGAAACAAGGAGCCCTGGTGGCCTAACAGTTATATGCTCAGCTGCTTCCCACAGGTTGGTGGTTCAAACCCATCGTGTGGCTCCTCATGACGAAGACCTGGCCATCTGCTCCCATAAAGATGACAGCCTAGAAAACCCTATGGGGCAGCTCTACTCTGTCACATAGGGTCACTATGAGTTGACACCCGACACCACCCCAGTAAGTGTAACGTCCAGCACGCACTGGACAGTACAGAGCCCAGAGGACCAGCGTGTGATTCACTGGGAGGCTGAGCTTTCCCAAGATCCACCAGACCCACGGGAGCCAATTTCTGTCTTTTGGGATGGGCAGCCCAGCCTGAATCTAAGTGCAGTAAAGACCTCCTTTCTCTCTGTGACAGCTGCTGAATATGTCGAGGGAACTCAGTGATTTAAAGAAGAACCTGAAGGAGGCCACGGCGGCCATCGCAGCAGACCCCCTTTGTGGAGATGGCGCCTGGGCTGAGCCGACCTTCTTGTCCACGGAAGCTGCCATTCAGTCCATGCTAGAGTGCCTCAAGAACAATGAGCTCAGCCGGGCGCTGCGGCAAATCAGGGAGTGCAGGTGACCGTGCTCCTCCTTTAGAGATGGCTAAGGCAAGCGCAGCAGCCTGGTGGCACAACAGTTCAGTGCTGAGCTGCTAAACAGAAGGTCGGTGGTTCAGACCCAGCCAGCTGCTCTGTGGGACAAAGATCTGGTGATCTGCTCCCATAAAGATGATAGCCTTGGAAACCCTATGGGGCAGTTCCACTCTGTCCTCTAGGGGCACTGTGAGTCAGAATCAACTCCATCAGAATTGACTCCACAGCAGTGGGTGTGGTTTGGGCTTTGCTTCTGTGAAGACTGACAGCCTTGGAGACCCTGTGGAGCAGTTCCACTCTGTCCTTTAGGGGCGCTGTGGGTCAGAATTGACTCCACGGCAGTGGGTGTGGTTTGGGCTTTGCTTCTGTGAAGATTGACAGCCTTGGAGACCCTCTGGTGCAGTTCCACTCTGTCCTCTAGGGGCGCTGTGGGTCAGAAT